GACCCATTTCGGCACCCTTCACACGTTTCGTGGCCTTATAGGGAGCTCCACCGAAGGCTTCAGTTGCTGCGTTCGCATGGCGGCACCGCGCCCATTCGGCACACCCCTCACACTTCGTGGCCCCATAGGAGCTCCACCGAGGGCCCCCGTGGCTGCGTTCGCATGGCGGCACCGCACCCATTTCGGCACACCCTCACACGTTTCGTGGCACCATAGGGAGCTCCACCGAAGGCCCCAATGGCTGCGTTCGCATGGCGGCACCGCGCCCATTTCGGCACACCCATCACACGTTTCGTGGCCCCATAGGGAGCTCCACCGAGGGCCCCCGTGGCTGCGCCCGCATGGCGGCACCGCACCCATTTCGGCACACCCTCACACGTTTCGTGGCCTCATAAGGAGCTCCACCGAGGGCTCCAGTCGCTGCGTTCGCATGGCGGCACCGCGCCCATGTCGGCACACCCCTCACACGTTTCGTGGCCCCATAGGGAGCTCCACCGAGGGCCCCACTGGCTGCGTTTGCATGGCGGCACCGCGCCCATTTCGGCACACCCCTCACACGTTTCGTGGCCCCATAGGGAGCTCCACTGATGGCCCCTGTGGCTGCGTTCGCATGGCGGCACCGCACCGATTTCGGCACACCCCTCACACGTTTCGTGGCCCCATAGGGAGCTCCACCGAAGGCCCCAGTGGCTGCGTTCGCATGGCGGCACCGCACTCATTTCGGCACACCCCTCACACGTTTCGTGGCCCCATAGGGAGCTCCACCGAGGGCCCCCAGTGGCTGCGTTCGCATTGCTGCACCACCGCAACATTTCGGCACATCCCTCACACGCTTCGTGGCCTCATAGGGAGCTCCGCCGAGGGCTCCATGGCTGCGTTCGCATGGCGGCACCGCGCCCATTTCGGCACACCCCTCACACGTTTCGTGGCCCCATAGGGAGCTTCACCGAGGGCCCCAGTGGCCGCGTTCGCATGGCGGCACCGCACCCATTTCGGCACACCCCTCACACGTTTCGTGGCCCCATGGGAGCTCCACCGAGGGCCCCAGTGGCTGCGTTTGCATGGCGGCACCGCACCCATTTCGGCACACCCCTCACACGTTTCGTGGCCCCATAGGGAGCTCCACCGAGGGCCCCAGTGGCTGCGTTCGCATGGCGGCACCGCACCCATTTCGGCACACCCCTCACACGTTTCGTGGCCCATAGGGAGCTCCACCGAGGGCCTCCAGTGCTGCGTTCGCATGGCGGCACCGCGCCCATTTCGGCACACCCCTCACACGTTTCGTGGCCCCATAGGGAGCTCCACCGAGGGCCCCAGTGGCTGCGTTCCGCATGGCGGCACCGCGCCCATTTCGGCACACCCCTCACACGCTTCGTGGCCCCATAGGGAGCTCCACCGAAGGCCCCAGTGGCTGCGTTCGCATGGCGGCACCGCCGCGCCCATTTCGGCACACCCCTCACACGTTTCGTGGCCCCATAGGGAGCTCCACCGAGGGCCCCAGTGGCTGCGTTCGCATTGTGGCACCGCGCCCATTTCGGCACACCCCTCACACGTTTCGTGGCCTCATAGGGAGCTCCGCCGAGGGCTCCAATGGTTGCGTCCGCATGGCGGCACCGCGCCCATTTCGGCACACCCCTCACACGTTTCGTGGCCACGTAAGGAGCTCCACCGAGGGCTCCAGTGGCTGCGTTCGCATGGCGGCACCGCGCCCATTTCGGCACACCCCTCACACGTTTCGCGGCCCCATAGGGAGCTCCACCGAGGGCCCCAGTGGCTGCGTCCGCATGGCGGCACCGCGCCCATTTCGGCACACCCCTCACACGTTTCGTGGCCCCATAAGGAGCTCCACCGAAGGCCCCAGTGGCTGCGTTCGCATGGCGGCACCGCACCCATGGCGGCACACCTTTCACACGCTTCGTGGCCCCTTAGGGAGTTCCCTCTCATTCGCTCAACGTGCTTTGCGGTACTCGCAACTGCATATGGTTGGGTCCATCGCCAGGATTTTTTTTTTTTTTTTTTTTTTGTTTCTCTCTCTCTCGACAAGGAAGAAGAGGAGGAGGAGGAGGAAGAGGAGGAAGAGGAGGAAGAGGAGGAGGAGGAGGAGGAGGAAGGAGGAGGAAGAGGAGGATAATGAGGAGGAGGAGGAGGAGGAGGAGGAGGAGGAGGTGGAGGAGGAGGAGGAGGAGCATATACCGATGCCGCTGCTCGTCCAGCAGAGTCCTCGTCATCGCGGCTGGATTCTTTTCGGAATTCTCATCAGAACGCACTCCAGCAGAGGCCGGGGGAATATCGGTATAACTGCCTCTTTGTTTCTCCCATTTTCGAACGTTGCCGACGGTTTTTGGACAGCGCCTTCAGCAGCTGCGCCTCGTCGAGAGCTTTCTGGGGGTGCCCAGATCGTCCCGATCGGCCGCCAGAGGCCCGAGTTGTGGCCAGAGGATATGGCCTCCTCGCTCCGTCGAGGATGAGCTTTTCTCGGCGATTCGTCCAGCATTCAGCATTCTCGTTGGTTCTCGGCGGTGTTCTGGCCACGGCATGCTTTTCAGCAGCTGCGCCTCGCCGAGGGCGTTCCAGGGATGCTCGAATCGTCCCGAACGGCCGCGGGAGATCAGAGTGATGTCCCGGAGACCAGACCCCCACGCGTCGACAACAAAATCACGACGGAAGGTTTGGGCCGTGTTCGGCCGCTGGGGGGGGCCCTTGTCGGGCCGCGGGGCCGTCAAACTATGACCCACCATGAGCAGCCAAGTCCCGGGATAGGACCCAGACCGTTCTGGGGAGCCACGCTGCAGAGGAGCATAAGCTCATGGCAACGAGGCGTTCCACAGTTTCGCACATTTCCACGAGTTCCCGGTGCTTCGCGCGGGCTCCAGAAACAATGACCGCCAGATGCTCCAGAATTCTCCTGGGGGGGCCCTCCCCTCATCCCCTTGGTGTGTAAAAGCCTTCCCCCAGCCCCTCTCTGCCGCCCCCCCCCCCCCCTTGAACCTCGAGCTTGCTTGTCTGGGTCCTGAGCGGGGGAGCTCATGAAGAATGCAGGGGGCTTCTTGGAAGCCCTCCCTGCTTCCAAGAAGCCTTCTTGGAAGCCGCTGGGCCTTTCCAAGACGGCCCCCACCCCTTCTAGGAAGCCCCCCGCCTTTTAGAAGGCCGACCCCCTTGCACCATCCTCTCGCTCGCGCCCTCCATCCTTTTTCCTTTTGAATATAACTCCTCCTGGCTGGACCCCCAGACGTGTTCGTAGGGAGGGCCCGGCGTTTCGCTTGAGACCCTATTTATGATCCTGAAACTTAGAACTGGTAACAGTTTAACGGATAGGATAGAAGACGTGCCGTTTTCATACTGTGACTCTCGCTTTAGTGCCGCGCGCATTCGTCTGAAAAGTTTGCAGCCGCTTCGCAGATGTAGGGCGGACCGTTTTCATCTGTTGTTCTCGCTTCAGCGCCGCGCGCAATCGCCTTACACGTTTACAACAGGTTCAAGCATGGAGGAACAATGGTTTTGAACTTGTGGCTCTCTTCCAAGCGCCGCGCACATTCGTCTTACAAGTTCGCAACAGCTTCACGGATGGAGGGCGGGTGGTTTTCAACATGCGGCTCTCGCCCTAGCGCCGCGCAAAGTCTTCTACCAATTTCGGGGCAGCTTCAAGGATGAAGGGTGTTTCTTTTTCAAAATGTGGTTCTCGTCTTATCGCCGGGCAAATTGGTTCTAACAGTTCGAGGCAGTTTCAAGGATTCGTATGGTTGAGCTCCCAGGCATGATGTTCTGGCACGGCTTAGGATTGCCCGGACGCAAGAGTTACGTTGATCCGCTGTGTTGGGGTCCCAGGAATGGTGTTCTGGCGCGATTTAGGTTTCTCAGGGCGCAACATGTACGTTGATCTGTGGATTTCAATATGTGGTTCTCGCTTTAGCGCCGTGCGCATTCGTTTGACAAGGTTGCAACAGCTTCAAGGATGGACTGCGGTAGGTGTGCAACATGTGGATCCCGCTTCAGCGCCGCGTGCATAAATTTGCAAGAGCTTCACGGATGGAAGGTGGGTGTTTTCAACATGTCGTTCTCGCCTTAGCGCCGCGCACATTCGTCCTAACACATTACCAGATCTTCACGGAAGGAGGGCGTTTCCTTTTTAACATGATGTGGCTCTCGCATTAGCGCCGGACGTATTTGTCTTAAGGGCTTACAGCAGATCCAGCAAGCATTCTTATGGTTGACGTTCCAGAACGCTGTTTGGGCACAATGTAGGAGTTTCAGAGTGCAACAGTCAGGTTGTTTCGTGGTGTTGAAGTCCCAGGGATGTTTTGGCAGGATGCAGGACCGTCAGGACGCAACAGGAACGTTGATCAGCGGCGTTGAAGTCCCAGTAATGGTACTCTGACATTGGTCCAGATTTTCAGACGGTTGTCGTCCAACAGGGCACTTCCCTGAGTGAGAATGAATTTTTGTAGGGACACATAATATGAAGAGGGAACTTGGAGGGAGGGCTTATTGCAACGTCGTTGATGGGTCTTGGGTTTACAGTACACTGGGCGTCCTCGTCCTCCTCCTCTTCCTCCTCCTCCTCCTCCTATTCCTCCGTCGACGCTGACGTGTCCAGAGAGCTCCGATCGTCCAGCGAAATTACCTCGGTGAAGTACTGGTTGAGTGCATGTGGCGACAAAATCACCGTGTGCGCGCCGCCGCAGGAGGAGGAGGAGGAGGAGGAGGAGGAGGAGGGGGAGAAGGAGGAGGAGCAGGAGGAGGAGGAGGAATGAGTAGAGGAGGAGGAGCAGGAGGAGGAGGAGGAGGAGGAGGAAGAGGAGGAGGATGGGAGGGGGAGGGGGAGCAGGAGGAGGAGGAGTCGCTCCCGCGGCATGCCCAAGAAAAACGAGGAGGGGACCGCGGTTTCACCTGTTCACCGGCTCATCTGGAGGCAGAGAGGGAATGAGGAGGAGGAGGAGGATGATGATGATGATGAGGAGGAGGAGGAGGAGGAGGGGGAGGAGGAGTCCCCGCCTCCGTAGGTGAGGACACGGGCAAGGTGGACACGTCCGACTTCTTCCCTTCCGCGGTCAAGGCCCTGCGGCACATCGTCGAGCGCACGGGCGCCATTATCGTGCTCTCGACCGAGTGGAGGCGCAGCGAGGCGCCGCCAGAGGAGGGGAATCCGGCTACGCGTGCGAGGGGCTTTCCGCTGCAGTGACCTTCGGTGCGGGCACGCAGGGGTCCCACCAGCACTGGCTGGCGCGCGTGGATTGCTTGGGTTTGACCTGCCCCGCGGCCCCCGACAGCCGCGCACCAAAGGTCACTCTTGCCTAGTGTCACTCTGGCGTGCAGCCGAGGGGATGGGATGGGGTTAGGTTACGACAGCGCACGGAGGCGTCAAGCCGACGTTCGCCGAGAGCGAGAGGCGGACTGGAGGCATCTGCCCTCAGCCTCCGCCCGCCAGGTCGATACCTTCCTCGGCCACTCCGACGCTGTGGCCGGGAAGGCACGGGTGTGTGAGTGTGAAGACGAGGCTGTTGTTCTTCGTAGAGCCTTTTCTCATGGAACCGCGCGCGAGGCCCCTCCGTCTCCTCTGCCGGCGTGAGGGAGGGAGGGGGTGTCCAAGAGGGAGGGGGGAGGAAGTTGCCATTGGTTCGAGGAGGCTTTATCGCCTCGGGGTGCCTTCCAGCAGCTGCGCCTCGTCGGGGGCTATCCGGGGGTGCCCGATTCGTCCCGAGCGGCCGATGGAGACCCCGACATCCTCGCGATTGACTTGGGCGTTCCGCGATAACCTCTTTTGGCGTGCTTCGAGGGCCTTTTGCAGCCCAGGGGCTGTGGACGCGTACTGTCGGTGCGCGGCCGCGGCCAACATGCGGCACCAGAGCGGCGCGGCTGACCGTCACACGTTCCAGTTTCGAGGCATTCGGTGACATTCTCTCGCCCACGACGGCAGACTGTTGGCAATTGTTCGGCCAGCGGGGGCCTTCACCGGGCCCCAGGGCCGTCGAGAGACGACGCAGGATGAAGAGCTGGTCCCCAGGAAGGGGGAGTGGGAGGGGAGGGGAGGGACCCAGCTCCCAAACGTATTCAAAAATTCAACGCGGAAGGTTTTCGCCGTTTTCCGGCCGGCGAGCAGACACCACGGCCTCTGCCTTGGAGTTTCTCTCCGGGGAGGCAGAGGTCGAGGGAAGAGCGTCGGCGGGTTGGACCGAGCCTCAAAGAAAAGCACTTTCGCGAACATGGTCTTTCGGGGACCTGCGTGGATTTCTGAGGTCGGCGCTGGCGGCGCCGCCAGGGGGTCAGGCGCCGATCCAGGAAGTCCTCGTGGACCTCGGACCATTCCTGTTTATTCCCATCTGGGCGGCGCAACAAAAACGGGTTCGGCAGCGCCGCCATTCGCGCGCAAGCCTCCCGCGTAAGAGTGTGCGTGCGCCCCCGCGTTTCGAGCGTCGCGTGCTGCGCGGGCGGCCCGCGTAAGCCACCGCGTGAGGTCCGCTATGCCAACCAGCGCAGGGCCCCTCTCTTTTCGTCGCTCATTCGTCCTCCTCGAGAACAGGCGTTCGCCTCCTCCGAGTCCCGCCTGCCGACTGAGAGGTCCGTCGTCGTCGTCGTCGTCGTCGTCGTCGTCGTCGTCGTCGTCGTCGTCGTCGTCGTCGTCGTCGTCGTCGTCGTCGCCGCCGCCGCCGTCGTCGTCGGTGTCGTCGTCGTCGTCGTCGTCGTCGTCGTCGTCGTCGCCGTCGTCGTCGTCGTCGTCGTCGTCCTCGTCGTCGTCGTTGTTCTCGAATTTTCATTGCTAAAAAATAATTATTGTTGATCTCATGAAACGGTTCCGCGCGCTCTCGCCTCGACGCGGGCTACATCTTCTCTGAAAACGAGGCTCCCGCTCGAGCGTTGGCTTGAGTGTAAAAGCGGGCCCTTGGAGGCCCAGCTACGACGACAACCGCTCCCGCTCAATACTTCCATGCAATTTACCCCGAGACACCCTGGCCAGAGAGGCCCCCAAACTCAGGAACGGCGCTCTCGCTCGAGACCTCCTCGCAATTCAGTCAAGTTGGCGGGGGCCGAGCCACGACGACAAGGGCTTCTGCTCGATACTTCCCCACGATTTGCTCCGAGAGCCCCTGGCCAGGAAGGCCCCCCAACTCATGAACAGCGCTCCCGCCCGAGACTTTTCCATGATTCGGTCAAATTGGTGGAGGGCCAAAGACGACGATAAGGGCTCCCGTTCGATACTTCCCCAAGATGTATTCGCAGAGGCCCTTGCCAGAGAGTGGCGCTCTCGCTCGAGATTTTATCGTAATTTGGTGGAGGCCCATACACGGCGACAAAGGTTCCCGTTCGATATTTCTCAATCTCTGTATTCCAGAGCCCCTGGCCTGGCCAGAGAGGCCCCCGAACTCAGGAACGGCGCTCTCGCTCGAGAGTTCCTCGCACTGCAGTTAGTGGCCGACAAGGAAGATATTTCCCCCGAGAGGGGGTGCGATCGAAGACGGAGTGGGCGGATATCGAGAGTTGGGGTATACAGAATATGATACCAGAGAAAAAACCAATTCATAATCATTTTAGGGCTGTAGGGCTATAGGGCTACAGGGCTATATGGGCTCTTGGGCGCTAGATGGGCTATATGGCTATATGGCTATATGGGTTATAGGGATATAGGGCTATAAGGCGATAGGGATACAGGGCTATAAGGCTATAGGACTACAAAACACCGGGCACCCGGGCACCCGGCACCCGGGCACTCGGCACCCGGCACCCGGGCACCCACCCGGGCACCGGGCACCCGTCATCTGGGCACCCGGGCACCCAGGCATCCGGGCACCCGGCACCCGGCCACCGACCCAGAGGCCCAATACCCTCAGAAAAGTGAGGAAAGCCATTCATTTGTTTAGATTCAAGATACTTCGTGCCAGAAACAAGAGGATATATCTAGAATCCAATGGTTTCTATCTTGATTTGTGTGTTTTTTTACATGTTAATTTAGATATTATATCTTGAACATGCGTTTTAAATATACCACATAAAGTTATGTCACGTTTATACGTGTATTTCTAAGAGGAGGAGGGGGAGGAGCGGGGGCAGGCGGCGGAGTGCGAGCAACACATTTTATTTTGTTCCAGCGCGCACGCCCTCACGCATCGTCAAACATCAGATGCAGCCATTTGAAAAGAGTGGTCTGGCAAACAGTCGCAGGATGCGCTGTCTCTGCCACTTTTGTAATCAATCCAACAAGGTCTTCGTCGGCGTAGCACCAGTAGTACCTGGGATTCCCAAAGAATATACATTGCTCCTCTGTGAGGTGCTCCCAAAGATGGAGCTTGGGTGACATCTTCCACATCCTGACTCTAGCTGCCCACGCGTCGCGAGCTAGATCTGAGTACAATTGAGCGAGCATCTGGCCTAACTGTGGAAGCTCAGCCTTCACCGATTCGCTGTGAAATTGCGACTCGGAGTACAGTATGTCGTAACATCTGCACAACAATTGAACAACCGCAAGTACTTTGGTGTCTTCATCTCTACCAAACTCCAGCATCAATGCAAGCGCATATCTGGCTAATGCTCTGCAGGCTGCCGCCTTGCATTTCAGTTTGGGCCACTCTCCATTCTTTCTGATCCTCTCCGCGTTCAACTTACCACGAATGCGATTTTGGCATTTGGTGCTATCGTACCAAGATTTCATGTGGCCATGGAGCTTCGAAATTTTCTCGGCGATGTTGTTCCCACCAACGCACGATTTGACCACTGCGATCAACCACAATACTTTCCCAATGATATGGCAAGCTATGCCTAGGTCTACCGTGTGCATCGTGTCTATGTGGATAGCTTCGAGCCTGAACCCGGTTACACAACGAAGGAGGATAGGGATGGTTTTGCCAGCAGCCCGCTGCATCTCAAGGTAGGCTTCGTGGGTCAAGAGCGTGTCGCGCCATCCAGCATCGCGTCTGCAGTTTGTCCACTCCAGGCCTGCAACCGTGTTGCTGGCCTTGCATTTCCAACACATTGAAACAGCATTGTTCCATTGGCCGAAATAAAAACACTCCTTGTAGAATGCCCAGTCGCCCCTCACCTGGGCCAGGATGCCTTTCCAACCCCCTGCCAGGGGCGTGGGGGGAGTGGGCACGCGTCGCGCACGCCAGTCGATCTCTGGAGTATGGCCCGAAACTGATACATTCATGCTCCAAGAAAACACTTTGAGAAGCTCGTCAAACGTGTTGGCCAGCATGATTGATTTGGGCACTACCGTGAACAAGAACCGTTTCTGTATCGTCTTGCCGACCCCCACCAGACTATTCCACGATACAATGTAGAGGCTATCGTGGCTGCTGAAGCTACCACCGTCGGCATGCATGCCTAAAGGCACGCTGCGTGCCCAGTCTGCCTCAGAGAGCAAAGGGTGATTCCGCACCAGAGCACTGTCGGAGATGGAAGACCAAAACTCGCGGCAAGCTCCTCGCTCACCAGACAATGCGTGCTTGAATTTCTCTGGCACTTCCTTGAAGTAACTGCTGAAAAAACGATGCGGCAAGAATACAGGGTGGGCAGATCGCTGTCCGTGAGTAGTGGGAATCTCGACCCAGTCCATTGGACAGGAGCCCTTGGGAAATCCAAGTAACTTGCACAATCCTCGAAATATATGTTGCGGGTGGGCACCTTGAGCACCGAGGCCTCCTGCGCCTTCCACTCCATCTGCCCCCTGCTGTAGCGCTCTCAATGCATATCGCTGGACCTGTTCCGACGTCAGTTTGCCTTTTGCCCAGTCGACTTTTAGATCGCGAAGGAATGGCGTAATACCGCTCTCAGGCTGCGAAGGAGACGCTGCGCTAGACTCGCGCAGCCTTGACCGAATGCCCCCTCTCAAGGGCGGCTCGTGGTCATCATCAGGCCCATCACCAACGCCCAATCTCCTTTTAATGCCGACTGCATCGCATAGGACTGCGCACAAACCGATCCAGAGTACACGGATATGGAATCGCATGGGTTGGTATGTGGATGGAGCCAAAGCGGCTACAAGGAGGAGGGAGGCCGGAACGGAGGAGGGTGAGTGGTGGTGATAATTGTGATGATGATGTTAGTTGTTTTGGTATTTATGATGGTGATGGTAGTGAAGATGGTGATGGTAGTGAAGATGGCGATGGTGATGATGGTGATGATGGTGATGGTGATGATGGTAATGGTGATGGTGATGGTAGTGAAGATGGTGATGATGGTGATGATGCCGATGGTGACTAAGATGATGGTGATTGCTATGGTAACGGTGATGATGTAGATGTAGATGATGTGATTGGTTTTCAATCTTGCTCGGTGTGTATAGTGTCTCAGAGATTGTAGCTGCTCCGTATGCTGCCTCTACCGCTGCGCGCCATGAGACTCGAACTCGGGATCGAGGAAGCAGCAATTGAATTCAACGAGCTGGCTTTTTCAGATGCCTCAGGTCCTACAGGACTTGACATGAAAAGCGCTGTCTGACTTACGCACTGCCTTTAGTAGCCTTCCTTCTGCGCTTGGCGGGCTTTTCATCCGTCAAGTTGAAACGAACCGCCCAGGTGGTGATCTCCTCGAACTGCTTGGCGAGCGAGTCTATGGTTTCGAGAAGGCTGTGGATCTGGCTATCGTCTTTCACCTGCTCAGTCGCCATGCGGTCGAGGATCTTCGAGGTTTTGGCGGCCTTGTTGAGATACTTCTGGATGTCGGACTGGAGGCCTGCGTTGTACCTGTTGGTAGTCGGGTCCGTTATGTTCTCGCACTTGTTGACGATTCTCTTGGCCTCCAGCACGTTGTCTTGGAGCTGGCGGAGGTACTGGGCGGCATTCTCTTTCACGTGCGACACTCTCTGCGCCAGCTTCTGCATTTCGGTGGGCTCCTCCTTTGGCTCCGTCTTGATCTTGACGGTGTCATCGGCGCTGGTGCCGAACTTCTTCAGCGCTTCGTGGTCTCCTTCCTCAGCGTCGCCTTGCGTCGTGAGCTGCATCTTCTTGATGTCCTCGTCTGTAAGTCTTTCCCAATCTTGCGGGACCCCCCACTCCACGAAGTTCTCGTCCGTGGACCCTGTCAAGGGATCTGGACGAGATCGAATCTTATTTGATTCGCGCCAGTGCGCGGCTTTGAGCTTGCCGAGGGTGTCGTCCATTTTCTCTTTGGACATCCAGAGCAAGTCCTTGAAGTTCTGTTTGACCGTGGCCTTCTCCTCGGATGTGTTCACCTTCTTGACGACCGAATTGCTGCGCAACTGATGCACTACAAACGCCTCTAAGAACTTCTCCCTTTCAGCGCCTCGAGAGTCTCCGACAGATGTGTTGATCTCTGGGTTTGTCTTGAGGAAGTTGACCATGCTGGCTGACCTGGATCTCTTGTTCTTGTCGGACTCCTGCAGGATGGCTCGAGCAGCTGCCAACTCCTCGCTCGTCGGTGCAAGCGAGCCGAGATCGACTTTGTTCAGCTTCGGCCCCATCAGCTCGAGCTTTGAAGGCAGACTGTATGTAGCGGCGCGAAAACCTGGGCAGGGCTTCAGACAGGCTTGAGCCAAAACGGTTACGGCGAGCACGGCAATAAAGATTGTTGAATGATCCTGTTGCTCACCGCACACCAGTGGAAGTGAACGGCAAAGTCAAGACAAGCGAAAAGTTAGAGGGGAGGCAGAGGCAAGTCAAAAGCAAGTCACAGTTGAGTCAAAGGTAACACCTTTGACTTTACCTTTGACTCGACAGGTGCCGAGTCAAAGGTAAGTCAAACGTAAGTCAAAGGTAACTATTTTTGACTTGCCTTTGACTTGTCGTTCCTGGGCGTCTGGTTCGCATTCGATCGTTCGTGCGTTGGGAGTCGCCTGGTTCCGGGCTGGTGTCCTGCGGTGTCCTGCGGTCGAACAGCGAGAACCGCGGATGACGGCGGAAAGGCGGGAGCCATGACGGATCTCCAAGAAGCGGAAACTGGTGCCTTGCAAGAAAGGCGCGAGAATCATTCAGGCCCCCGCGGGGACAACAAGATGGTGATGGTGGTGAAGATGGTGATGATGGGTGATGATGATGATGGTGATGCTGATGATGGTGATGACGATGGTGACTACGTCCACTACATGATGATGGTGATGATGGTGATGATGATGATGGTGATGAAGTGTGTCAACAGGTGGTGATGATGGTGATCATGGCAATGTTGTGATGGTGGCGTGGATTGAGATCGATTTTTTTGCTGCGCTATGCCTTGGTATTGTTTGGCTGGTAGCGGAGCCTATCTGGGTGCCCCCGCCCTGCACGCAGATCAACGCGAAAGCTAATCATTGAAATGACTGGCTGGCTTGCCCTGACTAGGTGTACGCAGGAATGGTTGGCAGGCTGACTCTCAAGAGGTCTTCGCTTTCTTTTTCATTGACTTGATGTAATCGGGAACGATACCGTGGAGCCTCGTCCAGTCGGCACTGATTTGTCCAATCTCTGCGGCGATGGAAGGATCCATATAGTCTTGGACCTGGAAGCGCGAGTAGCACAACGTGGCTGACGTGATGAAGTCTTCGACGTCCTTGCGAATCTCCTCTGTGAACGAATGCTCTGGCACCTTCCATGGGACACGGACTGCAAGCAATATACTACAGCCCCCGACTTTCAGCAAAACTTCAGAACTTCCAGGACCCCCCGACTTCCAGCAAACGTGGAACGGCTTTTCCCCCCACTTCCAGCAAACGCGAAAGGGGGGAAAAACTCAAACCCCACCATACCCTGAATGCACATTCGCGTGTATGTTTGGCACGCTGACTTGACATGACATCTAGCTGTGTTGTTGCGAAACAGGCCCCCCAGCGTAAAACTATCGGTTTTCAAAAACTGTCGTTTCCTCCTGAACTTATCGCGTCAGGGGGGCTTGCAGTGAATGTCCCATGCAGACCTCCTCGAGCCACGATGCTGCCACCTCGAGCTTAGCGTGGAGGCCCTCTTCGATATCTTTCATGCTGGGGCCCCAGTCCTGCGAACCTTCCTCCACCTCGAGAACCTCGACGGGGTGCGAGCTCGGGGGGTCCTCTGGAACAGGCTCGGCCTCGTCACATTTATCATCCTGCTTAGGCTTGGACCCATTCATCTCAACTGACTGGAGGCGTCTGCCCCTGCCCTGGAAGGGTACGAACTGGGGCGGGGAGCGCTCCATCTTGAGGGCTTGGACCAGACAGCTCAGAACGATGGCGGTGATGGTAGCGGTAAGGTAATGGTGTAGCATGGCTTCTGTGTTTATGGTAATCGTGTGGCGGTGATCGTAGTGATGATGATTTCAAGATGATGGCGATGGTGATCGTGGTGTTTGTCATCACATTGATTGCGGTATGCTGTTATGACCTGGTCCATTTGGGCTTAAGCCTCCTATGCTGTTATGACCTGCTATGACCTGCTATGCTGCTATGACCTGCTATGCTGCTTGGTCTATGATGGGTATGCTGCTATGACCTGCTATGCTGCTATGACCTGCTATGCTGCTATGACCTGCTATGGTCCATGATTGGGTATGCTGCTATGACCTGCTATGCTGCTTGCGGTCGTAATACACCTAACCTTCAGAAACGTGGCCATTTGGGCTTAAGCCTCTGACGGCTCAGCCACACGGGAGGAGACGGACGAGGACGATGACGATGACGAGGAGGCGGAGGAGGATGCGATGAGGGTGGCGATGGCGATTTTTCTGTAGCGCAAGCGTCCAGAGATCTGGCAGGCTGGACGGAGCCTGCGCACCCCGAGCAAAATGTAAACCGAGCAACTGCACCCACGGCGCTCGCAAACCCTACTGCTGCCTCAGCTCCCTCAGCTCCCTGAAGCGCTTTCGAGCGACCACCCACGCATCATACGCAGCGGCAGTGGCCCGCTCCTTGTCGCCATGAAGCTCCATCTGGCGCTTCATCTCAGCCTTCTGGACTTTGCAATGCAATCGTTTCTCGATTGTGGCTAGGTCTCCGTCCTGCTTCAAGTAGATCTCGATCGGGTCCTCCAAGAGATGGGGCTGCGCTGGAGGCGCTGGTGCAGGCGTTGGTGGAGGCCCAGCGGTTAGAGACGTTTTTACCCTGAGCCTCCTCGTGGGAATTGGCAATGGTTTGACAGCTGCAGTCGTCGCAGCGGTGTCGTGCTTTCTCTTGCCCTTCAGCTCCTTCTGCATCTCTGTGTACTCCTTTGCACTCAGACCGCCAACAGATGACGACCCATCAGCCAAAGCTGCGATCGCCGACATCTCGAGGAGTTTCGACGCGCCGCCGAGGACATAAGGCTTCTTGACCCCAGTAGAAGCGCTCATCTTCGGGGTTGCGTCCTTGGCAGGCGTGAAGAGCTTGGATTCGAGATCGTCCAGGTCGAGTTCTTCTGGTACAGTCTTGGACGATGGCTCGTCGTCAGACAACTCAACAACTGGCACCTCCTCCTTGACCACGGGAATCTCGACAACGTCCTCCGACGAGTCCTCATCTTCGCGATCGGCTGTCGCTTCATGTTCACCTGCCTCGTCTGTTTCAATCAGGATCGCATCGCATAGAGTGTTCAGGCAGCCGTAGGTCATGTTATTGAAGGCAATGGGTTTCCCATTGATTATCTGATCGCGCTTCTTTCCTGCCAGGCTTCGGATCATGGTTCGGAAATGATAGGCGGCGCGTTCGACGTCTGAGATCGCCCACGTCATGCCATTGGACTTCAACCACGCATCCAGCTGTTTGCAGAACTGCTTCTGCTTTAGGTTCTTGCCTCCAGTGCGCTGCAATACTTCCGAGATCAGTGTCCTCGTGCGGGCATTTTTCTCAGAAACCTACACCATGACATATGGGGTTGGTTTGTGGACCCTCCTCCCCCCTCCTCTTTTGCCTCCTCCTCCTCCTCCTCCTCCTCCTCCCCTTTTCAAGTTCAGAGAAACGGTCCTGGCACGCTTCACAGCGTCCCAGCTGCTGGTGTGCCCCTGCTTGGTGACCTTCACCTTCCAGAGTACACTAGGCGCACACGATGCCAATGGGACATGGGCGGAGAGCAAGTCTGCAATCACAGAGTTCTCGAGGGTTACAGCTGTTGTCCTGCTCAT